TGATGATTTGATTACCCTGTGTGAACCCACTGTACGGTCACTATGTGCTGGTCTGGAAACAGTCATTGCCCGGCAGCGTTCAGGCTCTGTGCCCTCCCCTGCCTCCATCCACGCACGTGTGCGAAACCTCTACACCTGGAGAAACGTCGCAGAGAGGGCTGAAAAAGTAGGTTTACTGGATTGTGTGCATGTACTTAAGACCTTCTGTTTTCTAGCATTTATTCTTTTGCAGACCGAAACTAGCCACAGCTGAAGCTTTAGCTTCTTAAAACATGGACTTTAATTATTGAGAAGGTGTGCGTTTACATGCACTCAACAAGTTAAATGACATCGCAAACCTGCAATAGTTGATCTTTTTGGGAAAGGAAGCGAAGGAAACAAGCTGCGGGCACAACATTGAAAAGCATTACCTGTTGAAATGATAAACTTGTTAGCAAGTTGCCTGTTTGCACATCTAGCAGTTATAGCGAAGTTAACATTCATTTGGAGTTGTCTCTGCCACCTGGCATAGGTCACTGTTTTAGCTTTCTCTGTTTGTCAGTTTAGCTGCCAAATGCTTCACTATGTTCCTCAGCTAGCCGCCAACTTTGTCTGTCTGCTGTTTGGTGCCAAACAGGTAGTGTACATTGGATTTTTAGAAGAAAAAGCTGTAATCATTCCAAAATATTTTCTGGCACTGCACCATCAGCCCTCCCACACATGCAAAATAAATGTCTTGTGTCACTAATATACTTAAAATATAAAAGCCCTGTTTTCAAAGTAAGATACAAGCTCGGGGACAAATTTGATTACTGGCCTGATGAATGTATACACAGATAGAGTAACCACATTACTACAGTGCATGTAAAGCCCTGTTTTCTGATTTCCCATGTAACCTGATTTCTCTGAGTAATCTGTTATCTTGTGTGCATGTAAACATAGTGAAGTTCACACAGCTGAGGCCACACATGAGTGATTGATTTTCAGACTGAATGGTACTGTGGATGGTGAACTGTTTGTTGACTCAGATCATTGTGTTTCCCTCTCAGGTGTATAACCGAGTGGCTGGAGAGGAGGTGCTTCCCCTGGACAGGCGGGTACGGAGGTTGAGGACTCACTGCGGCCCGGTCGCCGGCTCCATTTTTGCATTTGTGGCTGTGTGAGACTTCCTCTTCCTGCTGCTCCTGCAGTGGTTGGTGCCAGATCGGGTCATGGACGTTGCCATGGACGCCACTGGCCCTCATGGACTGTGGAGAAAGAAAACTAGCAGTAAAAACAGAGCTCATTCTAAACGTGCCATGAAACGAGCAGCAGAAACAGAATCATTATCATAGTGATCACTTCATACCTCTGCCTGATTGTTTATATGGCGTCCTGTGTGCTCTGTATGGTGTGAACTGACAGTTTAAACATGGCTGCTAAATGCTCAAATGTGCTCATGGAAACCACAGACATTGTTTACATTGCCTTACTAATGGGACCTTGTCTGAAAGCATGTTATTTAAGATTTGGAAGCAGTGTTATTCTACATTTAATGATTAAATTATTAATTTGTGGCACTTCTACAGGCTTTACTAAGAGTAAATATATGCAGTATACATTGCACCAAACAGGAGTAAAAGGGCTTGTCACCAGTATTGTTTACTGGGAAACAAACCTGTGGTCACCTATTTTCATCATTTATGACAGTGGCAAAATTCACAATTTGTGAAATGTTGTATATCAGTGTAAACTTTGATACCATAAAAACCACTTATTTGTTTAAAAATAAAATTTTTCTTCTTTAGGATGTTGCATATTTATAAGAAACTTTGGAGTTCTTCAAATGCTGACATGACTCCCAGACAATCTTCTCTTCAAAATAAAGAGTATGTTATTTTATTTAGGCTGTCTGTAGCCTTGTTGCATTTTTATTTTTTTTTGAGAACCATTGCATGAAACAGAAGGACATTAGAGGATTTCTTTCTTAGAATGAGTTTTGCAAAAGAGGTGGTGGCTGTCTGGAGTGAAAGGCGCCAGACAACACACAGAAAACCTGTGAAACTGGGGGTGTTTATGCACTTATATGGCTTTTCAAGACTAACAATAGGGATTGTACATTATACTTAGCCTTTAGCCGAAAATATGTGGTCATAACAGAAAATAGTGTAAAATTCTGAAATATCTACAGTGTGAAACTTAACACCTGTGTGTGTTCCTCTTCTTGGAGCTGCATGCATGCACATGTTGGGTGCTATATTCAAGGTGTGTCAGTGCAGGCCCATTCCTCCAACCATTGTTATGCACATGCTGTAGGCTGGGACATAGGTGGGTGGTGGTGATGTGGGGTGGGGGTGGGGGTGGCCAAGGACCCAGATAAGAGAGGGATGAAGGCCGAGCTCATGACTGTGTATCGACTGGGAGAGCTGCACTTCTGAATAGTCGTGGAGGAGTCTGCTGTTGTTTCATTTTCATCATGGCTGCTGTTCAGACAGAGGTTTCCCAGTGCTCACAACCTTTGCAGAGGCCCCTGTACATCTATGGGGGGCTGGCATGCAATTCGTTGATGGCTGGTAGGTGTTTTCTTTGTCTTTTTTGGTCAGTTCAGCTAATTTGTGTTTAGAGAGAAATTATATAAGTCACACAACTGGGTTACAGTTCTGGGCAAACTTTCTACTAACTGTGGTTTGACTTTGCAGAGTTTTACAGAGTTTTCATAGCTTTTTGGTTTTAATTGTAATCAGGAATACTGAGCGGCTGAGACTTGAAAAGTTGCATGTCGATATTGTCAACTAGCTCTGCAGTAGCCAACAAACAGTGGGTGTGTATTGCTCTGTAGGTTTAGTGTTTAGGGTTGGGTCAAACCTGAAAATCAAGTTGAATGTATTCAAATGAGGCCATCTTAACATTACAGTGAACACAAAGATCAATTGGACATATCTGTTGCCTGAACATGGGGACCTCATTGTTCTTATTGTGTGTGTCTCAGACTCCTGGTTGGACAGAACTCCTCTCCATGATGCTGCATATCAAGGCAGACTGCTCCACCTGAGAACCCTCATTACTCAGGTAAACTTTCTTAACATACAAACAGCCCATGCACAGTCATATTGTTAGGTTATTTCCTAGTTAGATAGATATTCAGAGATGTGTTGTCTAGAAATGTTAGTGGAGACAGATTGACTAGCTCAGGTTGTTAACTGTGCCTGCAGTGCAGACTGCAGGCAGGTCAAGGTTACAGGCAAAGAGCTGTTAGTGTCAACTGTAATGCTAGTCTTAATATTTGTCTTAATGTGTAAGGTTATGTCCAATTGTTTTAGATACACACCACGAAAACAACAGCCACACACCTTGACTTTTCCTCATGTTTTGGCTAACGTCCCTCTGAGTTCCTGGTTTGAAAGAACCGGACGAGGCTTTATAATAGAATAGAGCCTTTAATATGATAAAATAAAGTGAAACTCTGACCTGCTCATCTTCTCACAGGGCTTCCATGTGGACACACTCACCATGGACAGAGTCTCTCCTCTCCATGAAGCCTGCCTTGGTGGTCATTACGCTTGTGCCAAGTTCCTTCTGGACAATGGAGCAAATGTAAGAACGATGTAGCTTTTCAGTTTAAGACATTTGTTTTCAGGGTGTTTGAGCATAATGGTGTTTGGGTAATGTAGGCACCAGGTTTTAATAAGAGAGAAGAATGTGTGAAAAAGCAGTATCTCAGATTCTGCTGCATCAATTTTTATACCTTTCCTTATATCAAACTATATCAAACTGTCCATTGTGAGTTCAACAATATTACAAGAGTGTGTTAATAAATTTGTGGAGTGCTCTTTAAATAAACTCTGGTGTGTTGGGTACATAGTTAAAATTTTATTGAACAAACAACGGTGCCAACATGATACCTGATGTGCACTCAGTTGCCAAATTATTAGCTACACTTAGCTAAAAGTAACTTGTAATAAATCATGATCCTACCTCCATGAAGGTTACAGTGTTCAGTTTTTGAGGTGTTATAAAGTGCAGCTCTTTCAGCAGTAGTATCATATTTCATCATATAACACAACATAGGTGGAGGCAGTATCGACAGATGGCGCCACACCTCTCTTCAACTCATGCAGCAGTGGAAGTGTTGCTTGTGTCAGGCTCATCTTGCAGCACCATATCTCCATCAACACCACACACCAGCTGGCATCGCCCATCCATGAGGCCGCAAAGAAAGGTGTGTATGTGCAAACCATGTGGGTGTGAAGGTGTGATCTGTCACAGCACAGGTTTTGATGCAGCACTGTTCCCTTCATCAGATAACAAGGAGTGTCTGGAGCTGCTGCTGTCGTATGGAGCACATATTGACATGGAGCTGCCAGTGGTGGGGACGCCACTGTACTCTGCGTGCATGGCCCGAGCCACAGCCTGTGTAGAGCTACTGCTACACTCGGGTAATATAATCTGCCTCCTTTGCAGTGTAACAAAAAGCCAGGGACCATCATAAGTCACAGAAAACTGTTTATCCCCTTAGTGTAGCGCAGAAAAACTGAATATCTGAGCCTCACAGCTCACAGTTTTTGTTTGGTTTAGTTATACAGGCTATAAGTTCGTGAATTTTGTTCATGCAATGCAAATCAGAATCTGTAATTACTGGCTTTACACTGTCTACATTTGTCTTCCCATCACTTTCACTTTTCACAAAAACAGGAAAGCAGACAGGACAGCATGCCATGTTATGGCACTTCCAGATTTGTGTAATTGTCAGAACTGTTAGATGTGGCTCTAAATTATTTAATATTATTCACATCTCTGCTCTAAGTTCCTGTCTTGTCACATTTCCATTAGTCACCAGTTTTCACTCTGTATTGTCACTTAATGTTACTAACCACAGAGTGCTAGAGCAAATAGCCTGAGAACACATGGATGGCTTTGGTGTTTATGCTCTTAATCACATTATTTGGATATTCTGATGTGCGTCCTTTAGTCCAGCTTGTGTTTGTGTGCACATACAGGAGCAGATGTTCAAGCAGGATGTGAGCAGGATAGTCCTTTACATGCTGCAGTTAGAGGAGGAGCAGCGAATGTGGTGGATCTGCTGCTGGACTTTGGGGCGGATGTGTGTTGTAAGAACGCAGAGGAAAAAACTCCTCTGGACCTGTCAGCACCAAATAGCACAGTGAAAAGTGCACTACAGAGAAGAGGTGTGTTGTGAGGTATAAAGGCACTCACGTCTACATTACAGAGGTGACCTAACACTTTCTCACTATAACAGCTTCTCCCTGTCTCCTCTACTCAGGCCCCTGCTCTCTGTCTCAGCTGTGTCGGTTTTGTATTCGCCGAAGTCTGGGAAGGAGTCGTCTGCACAAAACCTCCAGCCTTTTCCTCCCTCAAAGTATCAAGGACTTCCTCCTGTACCAGTGTTAGTGTGGCTCTCTGTGTGCTGCCTACACCACACATTTGGCCTTGTGGCCAATCTCTAAGGTAAAATGTGACAAAAAGAAAGTCAAAGTCTTGCCAGTCAACTGTATTTTGTAATATGGCTGCTTTTAATATAATAACTGCTCAAATGAAATATTTTGGATACCAGTTTTTAAGATAAGATGCTTTCATATTGCAGTAATGTTTTTTTTTTATACTTTAATGAAATGTTTCCATTTCATGTATGTGGATTTTACAGTAATCCCAAAAAAATTTTTTAAATGTGAATTCTACCAATTTTACACATCAAAGTTTGTTTACAGATATTGGAGAGTAGAACTGTATATTCAAGAAAACCTCCCTGGAGAATGAGTGGAATAAAAAACTATGTGTTTCTGCTCCGTCTATTTTGAAAGTCCAGTGTACTCGAGTTGCGTGGCATGTTGTAAATTTGATGGGCTGTAAAACAAGTAAGCTGTCTTATGAATATGTGTAGCGTTGCCAAAGCTGACATAACAGATAAAAGATTCAAACACTTCTTGGAGCATGTTGGAAACAACACTAAGTTAAAGGGAAGACAGGGGTAGACTGAGTTTTGAGGCCAGTGCTGCTTGAGGGGAATGAATTTCTTCTATTCAAATGCCACCATGAAAGGTCACCAGTTCCATGCTGATATTTTTTTTTCTTTTCGATTAAAGAACTTTGACATTTTCTGTGAAGCCACAGTTCACAGTGGTTTCACACCGACAGGCAGGTTACACACAAAGTGAAGCTCTCCAGATTCCCTGCAATAAGTGGTTTAATCTAATTTATACCTCAGCTTTGATCTCAGGTCAGTTGTGTGTAGGAGGTCAGATGAACAGCAGACTGAAAGACTTGCTGTGTATCTGACAGACTCTTTTCTGTGATGCAGATTCATTTGGCCAGCAATATCTGTTTGTATTCATATACTTTCAGAAGGGAAGAGGTCACAGCCACAAAGCAGTTTCATGAAGTGGTGACTGGAGATCTCATTCATGTAAATAAAGTTTCATTATATGTATACATTTAGGTATTTTCAACACATATTCAATGTGAACATGATACAACGACAACAAATTTACTCCATAGTTCTGTAATTTGCATGGGACTAATAATGTCACAGCTTGTGAATGCACTGCATATCACTACTACTAATACCTTGGTACTCCTGATGGGAGTGGGCAAAAGTTGCACCTTTAGATCACACCCTCCAGTGATGTTGCTGGGTCCTGGTTAATACCTGTACATCACTGCAGCCAGGTGGGACATGAAACCACAGGAGGGCAGCAGAAACATTTTCAGGGTGTTCCTCATTAAGACATGTGTCCACAAAGCCAACAAACAATAAGTAACTTTTAACACTTCTTGTAATAAATTAAAGCTACAGTATGTAACTTAAGGTAGCGCTAGCATGAAAGTCCAAATCAATCTACTCTGCTCCACCCAGCACTCCCTCTCCCTGCTCCACTTTGCTCTCCTACAATTTACTAAAAATCCATCACATTCTGCCCAGCTCTTCAGATATTTATCATTATGAAATCCCAATAAATGGAAATGCAACAAAACTTACTGATCAGTCAGAACTAACTGAAAATCTCTGACTGGTTAGAGAGGTCAGTCCTGCTCAAAAACGTTTCACGCTAATATCTCTGCACTGCTGCCAGGGCTGTTCAGTGAGTCTGGGTCACAGGAGGCTTCCATCACACATCTCCCCATTAAGACTAGTATTGGAGCATATTTCTGCAACAAAAATATTGGAAAAAGTGTTACATACTGTAGCTTTAAGATTTGACAAAGACAATAAATCCTGCAAAAAAACATTTCAAGTACACATCCAGCATCCATCATGTATTTTTAATAACAGCACAGTACAGATAAAGCCATACATAATAAAGCTTATGTCTAGCATTTCCAATATAAAGGGCAGTTGAACAAATGACAATTATTGTAGCAATTTACAATCCTGAGTGATACATGAACGTACACGTTTCATTTTTCATCTAAAACAATTGTACAGAGTAAACACATTAACTGTCAGGGCCTTTGCTTATATTACATTTATTTGTCATGCAACATGTACAATAAAGATCCATCACAAGCAATCAGAAAACATGTTTGGTATCAGTGACTGTGACAAGCAGCCTCGACTGTAACTGTTTTTCAGCCAAAAAGCTATTATCTTGTTTTAATTCAGAGTCTAAACATTCCTGACAGATCCTCAGTCACCTCTTGTCTCCCTGGCCTTGACTGGTTAGCTGAGATATTAAGAATTCTTTTATGAAATAACATGATTTCAAGGTGTTTTTGTGGAAAAAAAAGCAATGAGTGAAATTAGTAAGAAATATCTTTTTATCCCGCTGAAGTGGACCATTCTAAATCAGAGTTAAACATGTGTTCCACTCAAACTGATGTGATTAAAATGATCAGCATGACAGTCCTGCTAAAACAAAGATGTTGATGACAACACAAAGGCTTTCAGACAGTGGTTGTGTTTGTTCTCCCACTGTTCTGGTTATACCAGCGTCTGGGAGCAGCGCAGCATAGGAGCTGCTTGTCAAAGTGTTTGCTGAAGCTTTTGCTCATCAAGTACAGAGCAAATGGGTTCACACAGGAGTTGGTGAAGGCCAAGACACGAGCAAGCACGCTGGCGATGAAGTGACCCAGTGACGGGTCCACCTGTTTGTAGTGATAGGAGCGGTACAGGTAGATCACATGACTGGGGAGCCAGCAGACAGCGAACAAACCAACAAACACCAGGACAGTTTTGGCCAGACGCTTCCTGGACTTAATCTGAGTGGAGAGGACAGAAAGAACAAATTATAATGTGTAGTATATTATCCTTATTATAATTATTATCCTTATTTCAGGATGGCACTGTGTAATAGTCAGTTGACCACTGCGCTCAAGACTGAAACATCTCAACAATTATTACAGATCGCCTTAAATGTTTGGATGATGTTTCTGATGCCAGGAGGATGGCTTTTACTGACTTTGGTGATCCTCTGACTTTTTATTTAGCTCCATCATTTGGTCAAAATTTTTATGTCTAATTGCTTATTTTATGAAAAAATATCTGCAAAACTGTCAGCCTCAGCTGTACTCATGGGCAGAACCAGGCGATGATCAGGGGTAAACATTAATGGTAAACAAGAAACCAGCTAAAGTTCAACCTGTTGACATGGCCTGTGTGAAAGCCTGTGACCAGGACCAGACTGAAATACAGGGATCAGACAGAGGACGGGAGGGAAAAATCCAGGACTGTTTTACTCACAAAGCAGAGGTCAAACACGAGCAACCAGAAGAGAGAGGGAGGAGGCAAAAGGGCAAAAACTAGGAGTAGTTCAAAACCATATGATACATAAAGACCAAGAGAGGATACAGCAAAAAGTGGAGTCGGGAACTGTTGGAGGTCATGCACGAGAAATCACAAAACAAAGAAGAGCGCATTGAACAGCTGGAATGTTGAGCTATAATCTGGAAAATGGGACAAGCTCTGTTAGGTGTGTGTATATACTGAGATGAGTAATTAGCTGTTGGAACACAGGCAGACGGGCAGAAAACTGGCAGGAAATGTAAATGAATAATCAGCACCCATGGGGGCCGTCGCTGCCTGTGTGAGCATGCAACAGAGAGCTGGCTCTCAGTGAGTTTTACCTCTGTGAACTGAAATTTCAATTAATCAGAATCCTTCAATTCACAGTAGGATTACTACAAATTTATAGGTTTAGGAACTAGTGTAGTGAAACATACTTTTTTTTGACGCATACATGAGAAGAGCTATTTATCTAAATCTGACGTTCTGTGACCTTAAGATCTTGAAAAGAAAAACATTTGACAAACATGTACTAGTTAAAATAAAACTCTTTGGTTGGGAACCTGCAGTATGTTTGGGAATATGAAAACTAGCTTCATATTTACTGCACTGCATTTAACTCTTAGCAACTATTCTTTTAATGTATTTGGATGAATGGAGGAAGCCACACTCTGACCTGTTTGTGGAGGTGCAGGTGTCCTTCAGCGTGGAGGTCCTCAGAGCTCCTGACCAGGCTGCGAGCAATGAAGCAGTAGTAGACAGATATGATGAAGAGCGGGATGATGTAGAAGATGAGGAAGAAGGCAGTGGAGTGGATTTTTGGGTGCAGCTCCCCGACATGGGGGTAGGGCCCACAGCTCACAAATGTCTCATTGGCGTGGCTGGTGGTGAAGGTGTGCAGGTCGGAGAAGACAGCTTCAGGAATGGCCAGAGTCACAGAGAGCAGCCAGATCAGCCCTGCTCGTAAACAGATACTGAGTGTCGCCCTGGATGTGTGGATGTCCAGTGGTGTGACAATAGCTTTGTACCTTAAAGAAGAAGAGAAGTGTGTGCAGGATCATCATAACCTGAAAAGTACAAGTACTCATTATGGGCATTTCACATTAATGTATATCATATTATTGGATTATAACGGTTGATGCATTGTCGTGCACATCACATTTAACATTGCAGCTGGTAGCAGTGGAGCTCATTTTAACTAACTTAGCCTACATACTTATAGTACAAAGAAATGGTGTGTGTGTGTTTTATGAATTTCCCACCAGGTATCACTAAAGTCAAACAATTGTATTCTATTTTAATTCTGAAAAGTAACTAGTAGCTAAAGTTATCAAATAAATGTTGTGGAGCAAAAAGTCCAATATTTGTCTCTGAAACGTAGTGAAGTAAAAGTATCAAGTAGCAGAAAATGGAAATATTCAAGTAAAGTACAGATACTTCAAAATTGTATGTGAGTACCATCTTGAGTAAATGTACTTAGTTACTTTCCACAACAGGAAACCTAGAATTCAGTACTGTATTGGTGGAGAGAGCTCTTTGAAAACAGCATTTAGAACTTTATGGTGCAGGTTTTCGTCCCATCACATCGATGGATTAACAGCTGGTGTCATGTCCCATGTGGATTTTTATTTTACCCAAAGAATCTCAAAGTTTAAGGGACAAATAAAGAAGGCGTAAAGTTACAACTCATGCCCAGGCTAACTGTGTGATCAGTACCGGTCAGCGGAGAGAGCGGTGAGGGTGAACACGGAGACTCCCACCGAGGTCAGCTGGATGAACGCGATCAGTTTGCATCCAACGCGGCCGAAGAGCCACTCGTCCACCAGGTAGCGGCTGGCGTCCACCGGGGCGCAGGTCACCAGCAGCAGCAGGTCCCCCAGAGCCAGACTGGACAGGAACAAGTTGGGTACCGTGCGCATGGACTTCACCAGCAGACACGTCTTTATTAGAGTGATGTTTCCAATGAAACCTACGATGATGATTATCCCATAGACAGCAGCGATTCCGACTCCAGGAAGCCAGATGTTGTACTGGCTCCGCTCTCCCGTGGAGTCCGAAAACACTCCTGAAACATTCACAACCAAAACCCCGGAGTCCTCGGGGTTTACAACAAATGAATCCTCCAGAGACATAGTAACCTGCAGGGTCCGGGCAGCTGATGTCTCCAGAAGCGTTTAGTGACTGGCTTTATAAACTCAATGCCCTCATAAGGGTTCGTGCGTCATTTCAAGCGCAACAGGCTAAAAACTGACAAAATTAGGGCGAAAATTATGACTATTGTCCTGCTGCATGATGTGAGGTTTGA